GGGGGGGGGGGGCGGGGGGGGGGGGGGGGGGGGGGGGGGCGGGCCTCAGCGGCCGCGGCGGTGACACCCGGGTGACAGCCCGAGGCCGTCCGGGTGCGGCAGAAATGGCAACAGCGGACGCCCCGTCCTCTGCCGGAGGCTGCCCTTCCCGGGCGGCGGGGGCGGGAGCTGCCGCGCACCGGGTCCCGGGCGGCCGCGGGGAGCCTCGGTCCCGCCGCAGCCCTGGGAGGGGGGCACTGCCAGCCTTGCCTGGAATCCCTCGGCCGGTGAGTGAGGGCACCAGCATCTGAACCAGCCAGGTTTTTCCCAAGAGACACCCTCCTCCTCTCCATGCTTCCGTCCCGATCCCGAGAGTGACTTGAAAGTTAGAACGAGTCCCCAGGGAGGGCCAGCCGGGGCTTCCTCCGGGAGCCCTCACCTGATGGCACGGGCATCATGGCTGCTGGGGAATTTTCGCATCCCCGGCGGCGTTCAGGTGCGGGTCAGAGCTGCCTGCCTGCCATGCTCCGTTCTGCCGGCCTTTTCCAAGGAGAGAGCCTGCTGCTGTGGTCACTGTTTCACATGCTGTGCCCCGTCAGGCCCGCCCATTCCCACGCCGCTTGGTCTCACCTTCCAGGCAGTGGGTAGGGGCATTGGGATTCCCGACACCCTGTTTTTTCTGCCCACCCCCACTCCTTAGGATGCCTAGTTGTTGGCGGAAGGAAGAGATGACAGCTGCCTTCGGTGGCAGGATAGACTTTGCTCTGTTTTAAGTCATAGGAGGAAACCGGTTGGCTTTGCTTGGTTTTGAGAGCTGTGGGGAAGAGGGTAGTCATTCTGGGCTGGGCGTGTTTCCCTCTTAGCTTAGCTTTGCATGAGATAAGGAAGAGCAGAATATGTCATTGTAAGGCCGAAAGAATCCTTGTTTGTAAATAGTGCTTGTGAGCTGCTCCAGTGCTCCTTAAGGGCCCTGCTCTGCCGGTTTGTCAGATCTGGACAGTCTGGAGACAGTCCTCATTCATTCATTCCCCATATGACAACAACAGTGTCCTTGCCTGGAGAGGCACGGATCCCATATTATAGTGGTTAAGAGTGGGCTTTGGAGCCAAACTTCCTGAGTTCAAATTCTGGCTCCACAGCTTTCTAGCTGTGTAACCTTGGGCACATTGTTTAACCTCTCCATGCCTCAGTGTTCTCATCTCTAAAGCAGGGGTGATAACGTAGAGTTGTCATGAAGATTTGAAAAGTTAACACATGTAAAACACCTAGAAACACGTCTGTCACATAATAAGAGTTCAATAAATGTTAGCTATTATTCTTATTTCAAGAAGTTCATGTTCTGGTTAAAGTAGACTGACCTGTAAACCAATAGTTGAAATGTGGTCTAAACAAGCTGGTAGCAGGGGCCTGCCCGGTGGCACAGCGGTTAAGTTCGCATGTTCCGTTTCAGCGGCCTGGGGTTCGCAGGTTCAGATCCCAGGTGCCGACATGGCACCACCTGGCAAGCCATGCTGTGGCAGGTGTCCCACATATAAAGCAGAGGAAGATGGGCACAGATGTTAGCTCAGGGCCAGTCTTCCTCAGCAAAAAGAGAAGGATTGGCAGGAGATGTTAGCTCAGGGCTAATCTTCCTCAAAAAAAAAAAAAAAAAAAAGCTGGTAGCAGCAGGAACAGAGAGCTGTGGGAGCCTAGCAGAGGAAGGTGCTAGCTCAGCCTGGGTACAGGGAGGGTCCTGGGAAGGCTGGGCAGGAGCGATGATGCTGGAGCTGCATCAAGAAGGACAGGAGGGCTTAGCCAAGTGAGAATGAGGGGGCAAGGTGTTCTGCTTAGAGAGGGAGAGACAAGCAAACTTCTAGTTCATTCCAGAAGCCTCATGTTGTTCAGTATGATGGTATGAAAGTTGACAATGTGAGGTAAGGCATTATAGGTTGACAAGGGAATGCCACATTAACAATTTGGGACTTTACACCAAGGGCAGTGGGGAACCAGTGAAAAGGTTTTAGGCAGAGGAGTGACACGATTGGATCTGAGTTTTAGAATTCTCTCTCTGGGGTCCTGGCAGAGGAGAGGAGAGACTAAAGGACTGGAGACATCTCCAGAGGCCATTGCAGGCCTCTGAGAGGAGAGTGGCGCTGGGATCTCTGCTGAGAACACACTGTATGCAACCGGTGGCAGATGACAAGCTTCCTGCATTGCCCTGGGCTTCTCTGCCTGGCCCAGAAGTGCCTGGCATATGTGCCCCTCTCTTCCTGGGATTACAGGTGCTTGAGCAGCGGGGGAGGTGAGGCTGCCCTCTCAGAAGACCAGTTGCAGGGGGTGCAGCATTTGCTCCCTCAGGCCTTTAATTTGACGTTTGGGAAGGCGGCCGACTGTAGTGGTTAACAGCCTGTTTGGCTCTGCAGACAGACAGATCTAATCCCAGTACTGCTAGTCACTAGAAGTTACTTATTCTCTCCATGCCCAGCTTCTCCTCTGTAAAATGGGCATGGTAAGAGCCCCTCCCTGGTAAGTTAGTTGTGAGGATTAAGTAAGGTGTTCCAGGTCCTGCATTTAGCACACCCCGAGTAAGAAATGCTTGGTAAGTGTGAACTTTTATTACAGGCTGTAGGAAAGAACTGCCAAGAATTAGCTGAAGCCATTAGTGGCAACTACAACTATGTCCCATTGAGCTGTCACAAGTGTCTTGAGGGATAAGAAGATCACAGAATTTTATTGTATTCTTTCTGAAAAGGAAATCTCTGGGGAGTTTACCGGTCTGTATGGGAGCCATGCGAATGATTCAGCTCGGCTCTTTAAAAGAACCACTTTTTAAAATAGAAGTAGGACTGCTGAGCAAAAAATCGTATTTTATTTTATTATTTTTTTAATCAAGTCTTTTTTGTGAGGAAGATTAGCCCTGAGCTAACATCCGCTGCCAATCCTCCTCTTTTTGCTGAGGAAGACTGGCCCTGAGCTAACATCTGTGCCCATCTTCCTCTACTTTATATGTGGGACAGCTGCCACAGCATGGCTTGATAAGTGGTGTGTAGGTTCGTGCCTAGGGTCTGAACCCCAGGCCACCAAATTAGAGCACACAAACCTAACCACTACGCCACTGGGTCAGCCCCCCAAAAATCATATTTCAAAGTATACTTGGGAAAAAAAATATTTGGAGTTTCTTCCATTTGTGTCCCTATTGGTGACCCTAGTCTGGTATCTGAATTAGTATTGTCAGGAAGCATCGCACACATTGATGTGTGTGGTAGCTCAAAATCCAGAACCCCAGTTCCACATGCATGAGCTGCCACGTATGGCTGGGGATGTGCTGGGTACTGAGGGCAGAAGGAGAATGGAGAGGCAGGTGCTGCCCTGGAGGAGCTTGTGGTCTAGCAGGGACTGGGCAGGCTCCTGACCAGTTAAAACTTGCATAGAGTTGGGCAAGTCTGTCACAGGAGTCTGTGCCGCATATAGTGGGAACCAGAAGGAAGTGATTCCCCTGGGGGATGAAGAAGACACTGGGGAGAACTTTGGAGAGTCCTTAGAGCTTAAACTGGATCTTGAAGGCTGAATCGCACTTTCTGAAGGCTCGTGGAGCCCTCCAGGCAGGGGAGCAGCGTGGCACAGCATGAATGCGTGTTGGTGTCTGTGCACTTTGGGAACCACAAGAGGTTCTAGCACAGGGTGTGAAGGGACCTGGCTGTAGAACATGCTGGATAGGTAGGCACCAGTGCCAAAATGCTTGAACTTCTGATTTTGTTGGTGATGGGGTGCTTTGTTTTAAGTGAAGGAAATACCATTAGACCCGCATCTTCACAAGTGGCCTCCTACTGCAGGAGGAGGATGGATTCAGGAGAGAGTCTGGCGTCACTGTAGGAGGCTGTTGCAATAATCAAAGCAAGGGTGAGTGGGGGCCTGGATCAGGGCAGAGGCAGTGGGGACGGAGAGGAAGGGCAGAGGTCAGAGCTATTTGGGGGGAGAGATCAACTGGACACTGAGAGTGTTTGGAAGTGATGGTTGAGGGAGGAGCAAGGGTGGCAGGTGACCCTGAGGTTCCTGGTTTGGATGACAGAGTGAATGATGGTGCAAATAGGATGGCTTGGGAGAAGAAATGTCCAGTGAGATTGGCCAGCTCCGTCAGTCGGCCCTGAGCACACTCTCCCAGGAGAGGATCTGTTGCGAGTCTGTGGCACCCTGTCCAGCTCCGGGCCAGGCTTCTCTCTGGTTTTGCTGGAGTCAGTGCCCTGAAGAAGGGCAGCCTCCCTCCCTTCACCTTCTTCTGCCCAGATTTGCCCAGGCAGATGAGCTTCTTCAGAGTTTTAGGAACTCAAGTGGCTGAGTCTGCAAAACTCCTGTAATTTCTTCAGCCTTCAAATGTCCCTGAAGAGCAGCCCCCTTCAGTCTGGCGTTGTCCACACTGATTCAGCAGATGACCAACTGATGGCATCCTGGACAGCGGCATACCCTCAGGGGAGAGATGGCTTTTCTAGTACTCCCTGGAGATCAGATCTAGAAAGACTGAAATTGGGTTTATTCGGTCCCTCTTCTCAGGA